TTTTTTAAGTGATTTTATAGAGAGAAGAGGGGCGAGGTGGGGGGAGGGGAGGCAGAGAGAGAGAGAGAGAGAGAGAGAGAGAGAGAGAGAGATCGCAATCGGTTGCCCTCCCGCACCCACCCCACCCGGGGATCGAACACGCAACCTAGGTATGTGCCATGATAGGGAATCGAACCTCTCAACCAATTGAGCCGCCTGGTCAAGGCTCTATATTTCATTTTATCACAGTGCTTAAACAATTCATTAGACATCAGATTTCCTTTTCAACTTCTCTAAATGTCTAATAATTCTTCATGATGCACCCTTTCTTAACTTTCTTGATTCTTTGGGGAGGGTTAGACAAGCCTCTTTTTTGCCATTAAATTTAATTTCCTCCTTTCCAAAGAAGTTCATAGCTCTTCCTTGAAAAGTAAAAAATCATAAAATTTACATCATTTAAGACTACTCCTTTATTGTCAATAAAAACTTATTTAATGTGAATATTAGTAATAACTATTAAGAAAGTTAAGAACCACAGAACTGGAAGAATGATTCTGAAGTCTTTCATTACAGACATTCAAATTCTTTTGTACTGTTTATTACTGTATTCTATAAGGTTCTTCTGTATAGAATTATATGGGCGATAAGACTAAAGTCAAACAACTAGTCCAAGAATCATAAGACAAAAAAAAGGGCTCAGATTTTATAAAACAGTCTAAGAAAGAATACTAAATCATTTGACTTTTCTGAAACAATCTAATCAGAAAGCACCATGCCTCACAAATAGATGGGTACCAAGGCCTGCAGTAACAAAGATATGTAATGCCATGCGATAAATGTAACTCACCTTCTTTAAATATCAGTTACTGTTTGGGGGGAAAAATTATTTTAAAATTAAAACAAACACATATGGAGAAAGAAAACTGCATGAAGGATGCTTTAAGAAACAAAAAGCAGAAAAACTCAGAGCATATTTAATTAAGTAAATGAGAACATCTCAGAATCAGACATTCCAAAATCATATCATAACCTTCCTATTAATCCATATTTTAATAAAGCCTACAGTATTACTTAAAGGATACCATGAAGTTAGCAAGCTCATAGCACAAGAGTAGCTTGCACCACTGGGAAAAAACTAGAAGGTAGGCAATAGCACAAATGGAATTTGTCTAGAAGACAGAAAATTCACTAGCTAATCTTCTATTGCACAGCTCGTTAAAGGCCCAACCAAGACGTATAGAGGAAACTGCTGCAGGGATGATAAGGTTTCTTCATAAACAGAACACAGCATAGGACGTAGAGGCAAATCTTATTCTCAAACAATAATCTAACTCCGCTTCAAAAATGTCTTTCTTCTGGGGAGAAATATCATTACCCTTTGCAGGAGCAGAAATGGAGAAATGAAAAATAATTCAAGTTTTAAAAAGCCAATTATTTTATTTATTAAAAGGCTTTTACTATCTTCTTTTCAAAATTTTATTTGCATTTGAAAAGCAACAAGCAGAAATTCTTAACAAATTTGAATGTAAAAACAATGGAATATTTTCCTAAAAAACAAAGTTTAAGGTATTCTTTCCTATAAGATTGCTGTATTTTTATTAGAATGTTTTGTTAACGTTATATTTAGTCCTACATATCACTGAATCTGCCTCTTCATTTAACAGAGATGTGGACATATTAATATGATTGTTCATTAATATGCAAATATGTGCATAAACTTTTTGTCCTAAGTAAAATATGTGAATTGACATTTTATGGCCTGTTATAATCCTTGATAGCATAGACAGTCATCAATGTATGGCTATCTTTAAGGACCTAGTTCAACTCCCACACCTTCCAGGAGACACAGGCTTCTTAAGTTCTTGGGCATTTAAGAAATGTGCCAAATATTTTCCAACCCTGTCCATAAGAGACAAAGTCAGGACTTGTACACAGGTCTCCTGATTCCAATTTTACTGCTCTTTTTGGGTTAGTACAGGATCTCAAAAGCCTCTACCCCGGCTATATTGCATCCTACACTTTTCTGTATGCCATAGGAGGGGCACCAACTATAAAAGATGCTAATGTTCTCCGCAAAGCATAACTTAAACCAATAATTTATGTTGATAACATTTTTAACAAGGGGAGTTTGGGGAAAGGGGTGAAGATTGGACAATAACCTGTAAATTTAAAAGCAAACAAAAATCAAATGCTACCCAACCTTCAAAACATAGGACAAATGTCCCCTCTCTTGACACCTTCCCACCACCTCTCAGTGACAACCATGTGCTCCCATCCTAAAGCACTTTGTCCATACTAAGTACAGCTTGCTTCGCTGGATACACCTGTCTTCCCACTGTGACAGGAAGTTCCTGGAAGGCAGTATAAGCTCCAACACATTTAAAGGTAACTGCTGAAAGGCTTCAGCACCAAAAACACTTCTTCAATATAAAAAATACAAATATGAAGAATGAACACATGAATTAGCCACAGCTGAAGATAAAGGAGGTCTCTCTTCACTCCCAGAGCAGCATCTAGATCAGTGGTTCTCAACCTTCCTAATGCCGCGACCCTTTAATACAGTTCCTCATGTTGTGGTGACCCCCAATGTCATTGTTACAAATTGAACATAATTAAAGCATAGTGACTAATCACAAAAATATGTAATTATATATGTGTTTTGTGATGGTCTTAGGCGACCCCTGTGAAAGGATAGTTTGACCCCCAAAGGGGTCTCGACCCACAGGTTGAGAACCGCTGATCTAGATCATTCCACTGCTTACCTTTCATCTTTCAAACAATCAACCCTAGAAGATACCTACTAGGTCAGATATGCTACAGGAAGTAAATATACAACAGTTCTTATCCCAGACATGCTTAACAATCTAGCTGCAGGGATAAGACACCCAGATAAAACCAAGGCCCAGCACAAAGCTAGAAGTGGCAGAGATATAAATGGATATAGATTATTTCTTGGGAAGCATACTTCTATTTCAGAAAGGAAGAAAGTGGCCTCTAAAAGTGATTTTCCTCTGTCCTTGCTCTAAGGGACATGAGGAAATACAGCACATTGAATGTTAAGTCTCTTTATAATCATCTGGAAACTGCTTTGATTCACTCAAGAAGGCTGTGGCATCAAAGAGCACTTCTCATTACTATCAATATGCCGCAGACCTCCTTAAAAACCTCTGTCATAAAAGAGGTCGGATGTGCCTCAGTCCAGTCCTGTGTGAATCCTCACTGCCGCTCCAGGCCCACATTCATGAAAGGCCTGTGGAAAGTTTCCTACGTGGACATCTCTCTACCTCAAACTCAATCTGCTCAAACCAAACTGCAAAATATATAATAATGACAAATATTATTTACCGTTATTAAATTACATAATAAAAAACTACAGGAAGTAATAACATTAAAGTAGATAATAAGTGAAATATTAATTTTCATTAGTCACAATGTACAAACTCTTCCCTGCATCTACAGTCCCAGAATGAGTAAGCAGATTTTGTTAACTTCTTTGGCCAGCCAAAGATTTGTTTGAACTGCTCAGTAACATCTGAAGTTATCGGTGTACTTCCTAAGAAGTAGCACCAAAGAACACATTTGTTTTATATAATCAATCGTATCTGGAAAATATCTCAGAATTGTATGTTCTGGATAATGCTGTGCTAGTGATATTACACACAAGAATGATTGAACTAAATGGTGTCTTAAGAGGATTAAAAAATAACTATCTCCCCACCTCTTTTTTTGAGATGGTAGTCAAGTTTGCTTCCTGGATATTGATAGTTATGCCAAGAGGGTCTATAAAATAACAGGGTTCTGCCCAACACAAACTGTAGAAATAGAAAGAAACAGAATTTTGATTTTTAAATGAGTACTACCTATGAAAAACCAAATTG